CACTCCGTGCCACAGCCCACCTGTCCTGAGCTGCTTGTGCCTGCTCCTGCCACATGTGTGTGGGACACCTCCTTTGTCTGGAGACTGTGGCCAGTCCCCTCCAGTGGGATGTGGGACAAGGGATGTCTCTTCTTCCCTGGCACTGTGGCTTCACCGGGGCTTTGCTTGGGACACCACAGGATCCCACTAGCCTCAACAGAGAACATTTGTCCCCACTGCTGCCCCTTCCACGTCGGGGGCAGTGCAGGCAGCTGGCACACCGCAGAGAAGGTGTGTGGGCACCATGTGGGCAGTGTGAGGACGCACGGTGAGGCCGTCACCCAGGCATGGTGGGCAGGCGGGGGCCGGGGGCACCCACCCCAGCTCCGGGCTGCGAGCAGGGGGTTGGGAAAGGCGTGTGTTTCCCTTTAAGAGGCAGGCCCTGGAGCTGCTTCCTCTCAGCCTTGCAAGAGCCCTAAACACAGTGCATCAGCCTGCAGCCTGCCTGCACGCCTGCCCGCAGCCTGCCCGCAACCAGCGTGAGTAGGGCTTGGCCCCAGTGCCGGGACTGGGGAGGGCTGGCACCGCGGGGCGGTGGACACCCTGCTTGCCGCGAAGGGCAGGGGGGGCTGGCATTGCCGTGGAGGGAGCCGGGCATCACTGCTGTGGGTGCCAGGCATCGCCGTGCTGGGTGCTGCAGCACGATGCTCACAGCTGAGAGCGTGGGGCGCGCTGCACATCACGGCAGCGCTGGGTTCCGGGGGGTCACCCGGCACTGGGGTGCAGGGGGAGCGGGGCTGGTGCCCTGCACAGCGAGACGTGAAGCTGCCGAGCCTCGAGCCCACCGTGTGTCGCGTGGGCAGCACGTGTCCCCGCGGTGTCCCCAGGCTCCGGGGCCAGCAGCGCCGCCGCTGCCGCGCCGGCTCCCGGGGCTGCGCCGGCACCCTGCGCCCCCGGGCACCGGCGCTGCCGGCCACAGTGCGTGGTGGCAAAGTGCGGCTGCACCCCACGGTGAGCTGAGGCACCGGCTGCAGGGGAGAGCCTGGGGTTGAGCAAGCTGCGGTGGGAGCAGCTGGTTTCACGCCCCGGAGCCTGCAGAGCACCACTGTACCCGGTATTGGACCCTTCCGGGTTGAGCATCTGCTCTCCCACAGCCCCCTGGCCCGGGGTATGTTTGCAGGCACTCGTGAGCCTTGTCTAAGGGCACGGATGTCAGACCCCACCCTGGTCTGGGAAGGGGTCTGCCGGAGGCTTGCCGGGTGCCGGGCCCCCTCTGCCGGCTCCGGGAATGCTCACAAGTAGCCAATTCTGCTGGTAGCACCCCGGGTGAGCCCCGGGCAGGGCACCCTTGAGTGTCCTGGCCCCCAGAGCTCGGACAGTGCACATTTCTGGTGTCGTGGTGTAGCCAGGCTGCCCCCCACCCATGGGACGTGCTTTGGCAGCCAAATGTGTCGCATGGGGTCAGTGCCAGGCATGTCTGTGATGCAGAGGGGCAGCCCTGGGTTGGAGGAGAGGGTCCTTGGCCAGGACAGTGAGTCCTGCTGGGCTTTGTCCCGAGCTGGGGCAGTGGAGGCAGCCCGAGCTCTCTCCCCCACTCCTTGGTCGGGCTGCACGCTCGGCTGCCTCTGTAAACCGAGCTGGCTGCTTTACAGTGGGGCTCAGCCACTTCTCTCCCCCTGCACCCCTACGTGACCTTTTCCCAGTGCTCCCTGTCCAAAGGACACCCTGGGATCCCATTCCTCCAGCTTCCCCATCCCCAGCTTGCTCTGGGGCCAGGTGCTCCCCTCAATGGGCACCCCCACAATGGGCAGGGAATGTGGAGGTGTGCAGTGTGGGCCAGGTGGGAGGATGAGGATGGAAGGGACTGGGAGGAAGGCGGGTCTGGGGGCACGGCTCAGGTTGCCTGCACTCTCCCCTGTGGGCAGGCAAGCTGCTCTGCTGGCTCTTGCCACCCTCTCCTTGCACCCCTGGTATGGTTAGCACCACTGCCAGGCAGTGCTGCCTTTCTCCTGGCTATTTGGGGGTGTCACAGCAGTCCTTTCCCCTCTGCAGCCCGGGTTTGCTTCCCAGCCATGCTGCTGCTCCCACTGCTCCTGAAGGCCACCCTGCTGCACCTGGCCAGTGGCTCCTACCACCCCTTCCACAACGGCTTCTACTACAACCACATCATGAATGACAATAGCGACGAGCAGGACAAAGGTATATGGGGGACAATGGGGGCTGGCAGGTTGTCACAGGAGGCTGAAGTGCCCCCTGCCCCTGAGTGGGGTGGAAACCCATCACTTGGTGGGATGTGGGGCCCAGAGGAGCAGGTGGGAATGCTTCAGGGATACTTGGGGGATGCTCATGGTAGAAGAGGTGGTGGCTGGAGGGAAGATTTGGATCCTGACATGCCTATCACACCTTCCTTCTTCCCCCCAGTGGATTATTTTAGTGGATCCAGGCTAGTGGTGGAAGCCTCCAGAGACCCTGTCTACAGCTACAATGGTGCCAACGTCACCCTGCCCTGCCGCTACCGCTACGAGCCCGACCTGGGACCTAAGCGCAAAATCCGCATCAAGTGGTCCAAGCTGCGGGATGACTACACCAAAGAGCAGGATGTGATGGTGGCCATTGGCAAGACCTACGTGGCCTTTGGGGACTTCAAGGGCCGTGCCCACATGCGCCAGGCCGGTGAGGCCAGCTGGCACGAGGCCTCGCTGGTCATCAGCGACGTGCGCTTGAAGGACGATGGCAAATTCCGCTGCGAGGTCATCGATGGGCTGGAGGATGAGAGCGACGTTGTGGACCTCCGGCTGCAAGGTGGGGGCATGCTGGGGATCACACCACCCTCTGTGCCAAGCCAGTCAGCCTGGCCTTTCTGTGGTACCTTCTCCTTTGGGGATGCAGCAAGGCAGGGAGCTGGGGAGCTTGATCACGGCAGAAAAGGGCTGGGATGCTTTTGGCTTGGGGCTGTGTGGCTCTGGCCTCAGGAGTGAGTGAGCCCAGAGCTGTCTGCTCAGCTGGGACACTAAGGGTGCTGATGGAGTCAGAGTTGGGAGTGACCCCATGGCTGCAGCAGTTCCTGCCTTTACCCACCCATCTTCCCACTGTGCTGCATTACGTGGAGCTGTCCCCTCCCCTCCCAGCTCTGGATATCCCAATGCATCTTGTACTGATCCTTGGTGACTGCTCCAGCCTCTCTTGCTCATTTGTCATGAGGGACCTGACTCAGCCCTGACATTGCTTTGGAGCTCAGAGCTGTGGAAATGTCCCCTTTTCTTGTCCCTGCCCCACCCCCTTGGTCCCTGGCCCCGCGTCCCACAGTGACTCGTCCCTACCAGTCCTTGTGACTGTGTCCAAAGTGGTGATGCCCGTGGTTCTGTTGTCCATCCATCCCCACGGCAGAGGTTCATTCATCCCCATGCTGGTGGTCCATGTGGCCCCTGGGATCATGGGGATGCTCACCCTTGTATCCCTGTTCCTGAAGCCTGTGCATCTCCATGACAACGATCTCTCCATCCCCACAGGGGTGGTCCATGCCTCCCTGGGACCACTGTCTGTACGTTCCCAGGACCGTGGTGGTGGTCCCTGCATCCCCATTATAGTCTGTGCATCCCTGTAAATGCAGGTGCTGTCCCCGTGAGGGGGTCCTTGTGTCCCCAGGACCGAGCCCGTGTGTCCCTGTGCCACCAGATGTCGCTGGCAACTCGCTGCTGGCGCCTGCATGTCCAGAGTGGCCCCATCCCTGCATGCCTGAGCCTTGTCTCCGCCACACGGAGGTGGTCCCTGTCCCAGAGCCTGAATTTGACGCGGCTCGGGGACCCCTGTGGCTCCTGCTGGGGCTGGGCTCGGGTTGGGTGGGCTGCCCGTGGAGCCAGCTGAGTGTCCCATCTGCCTCCAGGCATCGTGTTCCCCTACCAGCCTCCCCGCGGGCAGTACAGGCTCAATTTCCACGAAGCCGAGCAAGCGTGCCAGGACCAAGGTGCCATCCTCGCCAACTTTAACCAGCTCTTCCAGGCGTGGAGCGAGGGGCTGGACTGGTGCAACGCGGGCTGGCTGGCCGATGGCACGGTGCAGTACCCCATCCGCCTGCCCCGCAAGCCCTGCGGGGGCGTGCACCTCGCCCCGGGCATCCGCAGCTACGGCCCGCGGCACCGCCACCTGCACCGCTTCGATGCCTTCTGCTTCTCCTCTGCCCTCAAAGGTGCGTTCTGGGCCAGGGGTGGGGCTGGGATGCTCGGAAGGTGCTGTGTGTCCCTCCCTGTTAGGGCCTGGCCGGGGTTGTTGCTGGCATTCCAGATGGGGATGCTCGGGATGATGCTCCCCTCTCACGCTCCGCTCTCCCTCCTAGGAGAGGTTTTCTACCTGGACCGCCCGGCTGGGATGACGCTGGAGGAGGCCAAGCAGAGCTGCCAGGATGCAGGGGCCGAGATCGCCCGGGTGGGGCAGCTCTACTCCGCCTGGAAGTTGGCGGGGCTGGACCGCTGCAATGCCGGCTGGCTGGCAGATGGCAGTGTCCGCTACCCCATTGTCACACCCCGGGCCAACTGCGGCCCCGCGGAGCCCGGTGTGCGCAGCTTCGGCTTCCCCAGAAAGGGCAGGTTTGGAGTCTTCTGCTACAGAGAGAGATAAGGAGCCGGGAGGGATCCTTCTTGGATGAAGGACGTTTCCATCCTGCCAGCGCCCAGTGTTGGGCATTTCCAAGGGCTTTTCTGTGGGTGACTGGGGGGAGGTGGGGTGGGGGGAGGTTCCTTTTTGTTTTGTTTTGTTTTGTTTTGTTTTGTTTTGTTTCCTTTATATTTTCCACATCTTGCTCAGCAGCTGGCACTTGCAGCTGCTTGGGGTGGCTGCCAGCTGGGCAGCGTGGGACAGTCCCTGTCGTGGGATGTGTGCAAGGATGATCCCCATGGGCCACTGCTGCCACCCCATCTGGCTGTGCCACCCCATGGGTGGTGGCCCCTTCCTGCAGTGCCAGGTTGTCACTGATACCCACCTGCCCTTCCAGGCTGGTCCTGCCTCCCAGTTCATGAGTCAAGGCCATGAGGGAGAGAGGCAAGGCTGGATTTGACCAGGGCAAAGAGCAGGTATCTCCATTGCATCCTGGCCCCTCTTCCAGCCCCATCCATGTCCTGCTGAAGGATGCCATTGTGCCTGTCCCTGCTGGAGCACAAGTGCCTTATCTCTATGTGCCCCTTGCCTGAACTCCATTTGAAGTCTGGTGCCTTCTTCTCTGAGCATTGGCTATGAAAAGATGTGTTTTTCTGGACATCTTCTAATAAAATGGTGGAGAAAGCCCTGGAGTGACATGGATGTGTCCCCATCTCTGTCCCAACACAAGAGAAAGGTTTGCTGTGGAGGGACCAAAAGCTGCCAGAAAATTCACACGGAGGGGTGGGTGTAGAACACCAAAACCTGTCAAGTTTTTCGTTTTTATAGGTATTGGCAAAGAATCTCTAAAACCATTTGTTTTGGAATGATTTGGAAAGAATCTATCCATTCTATTGTATACAGGAATGTAGGAAACTCTGACTAGAGATGCGTAGTCGTTTTGAAACCAATGTTATAACGTTTTTACCTAGGAATGAACCAATCAAGTGCCCTTAAGCCGCAGGAACAGCTGCTGGGGCTGAAGGGAATAAATACAAAAGGCTCTCCTGCAGCTTTGGCCTCTGTTCCCTGCCTGCCCCATAGCGCGTCCGGCCCGGGCCGGGCAGGGGGGCGGTGCTGCCACCCTGTGTGCACAGAGCGGCGCTGAGCCCAGAGGGGAGCGGTGAGGCACGGTGGGGAGGGCAAAGGGCCGCGGCCGGGCTCGAGCGGCCGCCGTGCGGGGCGGTGCCTGGGAAGAAGGACAGCGGCGGGGCCGCTTTGGGCGGGCGGCGGAGGCGCGGGGGGGGCGGAGCTCCCGTTCCAAGATGGCGAAGCGCCCGCGTACCTGGAGCCTGCGTGAGCCGGGTCGGGCTCCGGCCGCACTCTGCAGACTCCGGCAGAGGTGTCGCCGCCGCTCCCTGCCGCGGTTCCCCGGGCTCCGGTGCCGCTTACCCCGCCAACCGTTTTCTGCCGCCGGGAAAAGCAGCAGAAAAGGGCGCTGAGAGCGCGGGATCGGTGTCGGGACCGGGTAGAGGCAGCCGGCAAGAGAAATGCCTGTGTGAGGAGCGGGGGATGCTTAAGGGTACCACAACAAAGAAGGCGGCTCGGCCGGGAGTGGCGTCTGCCAGTACCAAAGATTGCGGAGAGGAAATCCAGGAGAAATGGCTGCTGGCATCCTGGGCTTGCCAGGTAGGTTTTGTACTTGATTGCAAAGCAGTTTTCCTGCCTCTGCATGGGGTGGCACCTGCATCCCACTGGAAAGGGGAGAGGAATAATTCCCCTCCTTCCCTGGCCCAGCCCTGGAGTGGGAGCAGCTTGCCCTTATCCTGGAGTTCTCCTGCTCCTGCCCAGCATCCCTCTGGTACCCTCATGTGCTTCCCAAGCTCCCAGCACTGATGGATCTAAACAAGGAGAACAATCCCTGTTCCTTCTCTTCTCCATCCTTGATGTTCCTGGGCCCTGCATCTCCCTGGCTATTCCCTGTCTGACTCCTCATCTCCATCCCACCTTCTCCCTGGTCATATCTGAGCCTGAGATGTGTTTAGCAGCAAATCCATTCCTTTAAAGGAAGCCCAGTGCAGAGAGCATCCAGCTCCAGGTAAGTCTTCCTGCATTTCATTTTTCTCTGTCTGCAGGCTCTGTCTTCCTGCATTTCATTTTTCTCTGTCCAGTTTTGGAGGGTTTCTCTCTGTGCTTTCCTGTGACCCAGATGTGTCCCTTCCTTTGTCCAGATCCAGTGCCAAAGGATTGAACAACTGATGAGTGGGGTCTGGGATGAGAATGGTTCTGCTAAAATTAGGGAAAGAATGCTAGAAGAAAAATGAGCTTTCTTGGAATGTCTGGAATAAAAGCACTGGGAAAGAGGACTTTTTAATTTGATTTGGAAAAAACCTCCCCTTTTTTATGGCTAAAACTCCATGGTGAGCAATCCAAGACAAAAGATTAAACGCAGGAGTCTTTGATTCTGCAGTGAGCTTAACTTCCCTTTTCTCCTCTCTTTCAGCACAGGGAGAACCACTGAACTCGTCCTGGCCTTGCCAAGAGCTTTGGTGTTTGAGTTGCCAAACCCAAACTGGTCCTGATGATGGAGGACTTAAGAAATTACTCAATCCAACTAAATGCTTTAAAAAGGGAGGTGGTTTGGTTATAAAAAGATTTCTGCCTGAGACTGGGAAGAGTTAAACCCCCCAATTCTGCACAATAGCACAAGGATTTTTTAATTCTTTGCCTTTTTTCTCCTTCCTTTGAATGGGTTTGTTTGTTTCCCCTTGGAGATTACACACACAATAGGCAGATTTTTCAATTAAGCCATTTTCCCCCACTTTTAGTCTTCAATGGAGCCCAGGTGCCAATTGTTTGCTAATTGGTTTCTGCCTTCCCTTTCCTGCCTACAGCTTAACCCCTTTCTCTCCTTCCTGCTTTTTGGCCATCACTGGTCATGCAGATGATGCTGATGCAGATGGCTGATGAATAATTATCAAACAGCTTGGGAATGGTCTGTGTCAGGTATCAGTAACATTAAAAAATGCAGTATATGGACCATCAACCAATGAATTAAGCAACAGGTGGATAGTAACTAATCATCTTTCCTTTGAAGCCCTCTTCATAGCATATTTACTTATAAAGGGAAAGCATTTGGTTTTTATTTTAAAAAATACTACAAATCACCAACAGCCAGCTTAAGTGAGCATGGAAGACTGACAAAGACATTGTAATGTTTTTTCTTTTAAATCCCTCACAACCCCATCACGTATTGGGGAGGCAGCTCAGCAAGTTTCAGCCCACAGCTGCCATCCTGTGCTCATGCAGAGCAACCTCTCCAGCTGTCCCAGCCTCAGGAAAGCACAGGAGAGGGCTTTACACAGATCAGGGATTAAGCTAGACCCAGGTTGGGCTCAGCTCAGTCACCATGGCACTGTTAGAAGCCTTAAACCCCTTTTCTGTCAGATTGATTGTGGTTGCGGTGCAGCCACTGCGTTGCTGTCAATGTGCTCCCCTGCAGCCTAGCCTGACATGGTGAGCAGGGGCTTGGGGTTCTGCCTCATGTGTTAAACATCAAACCAGAAGATAAAACAACAGCTAAAACCCCTGCCCTGCCATGTGCCTCACTCTGCACCACTGCTATGAGAGGAGGGTGAAAGACCCAGTCAGTTTTAGCTCTCTAAAGAAGCTACAGAGCAGTGATGAGTGCCTGAGTCACATCTGCAGCCATCAGGGGAGTGAGGGCAGGGAAGAGGGCAGAGAAAGGGAAATAAAAAAATAACAGAGCCACCAAGACTGGAGGATGGGAGGATGAATCCAAAACTATGCTCTGCAAGAGCTGAAAGAACACATTTCTTTAAACAAGACATCCAAACTGGAATGAGGGACATGCACTCTTTCCAGATCTTCCCAGCAACATAACCCATTAAAAAAAAGCCATCTGTGGAAATGGGATGCTCCTTTAAGCCTTGCAGAGACTTGCTGGGCCATGGAGACCTGCTTCTTGTGTGTGTGTGTTTCAGGTTTTTTTTTTAAACCAAGAAAAAAATCAATATAATATTTTAAAAAGAACCCCCAGAGCTTTGGGGAAAGTGGGCATAAATGTCAAACAAAACACAAAGAAAGACTGAGCTACTAAGGAATCATACTTAGAGCAGCAGTGGTGGGGTGGGAGGGAAGAAATAGAGCAGAGAAATTTAACACCATTTAGGAGGGTTTATACACAATGTTTTCATTGCAAGCAGCATTTAGAAGTGACAATTCAGTGATTGATCATATCCCAGCACACTCCTTCCCTGTCAAAGTGATAGGCAGAACCAGCAGAGCAGCTCTGAACACACTGTTCACTACAAGGCACCACCAACAAACCCAGAATAGCCTGTCCCCTTGGGCCTTCTGAGAAGCTGGGATTTAGCAGAAGGCCTTGCAGGGCAACAGTGTTTCAAATGTCAAAGGATTTAAAAATATACAAGGCTATGAAAGCTGATGGGACCTGAAAGAATTGAAGAAGGTGTCTGAGCAGAGCATCTTTGGCCAGTGCAGCCAGATAACCCTCAGCTATCATTACTGGAGGATCTGGGAGTGAAGCCCAGCAGGAGATGCTGCAACGTGAACTCCTGCCCCACACAAGAGGTTCCCAGAGACCAAAAACTCCGTGCAGAGCAGACAGGATCTGACCCCAACACCTGCCTTGGGCCACACCCGCTCTTGTATTTTCAGGAGCCACACAGAAACGTGGTGTATTTATGATCACTTCTCTCACCAGACCTGGTTGCAATCAGCACTGGCTCCCAAAACTGAAGGAGAAAATAGAAAAATTCAAAATAAAAATTAAATAAAAAACAAAATTAAAAAAATAAAATAAAAAGCTTTAAAAATAGAAAAAATACAAATAAAAGTTAAATAAAAAATAAAATTAAAACAATAGAAGAAAAAGCTTTAAAAATAGAAAAATTAAAAATAAAAATGAAATAAAAAATAAAATTAAAAAAATAAAATAAAAAGCTTTAAAAATAGAAAATAGAAAAATAAAAATTAAATAAAAAACAAAATTAAAAAAATAAAATAAAACACTTGAAAAATTAAAAAATTAAAAATACCAAATTTAAAAAAAGCTTTAAAAATAGAAAAATTAAAAATAAAAATTAAATAAAAAATAAAATTAAAAACATAAAATAAAAAGCTTTAAAAATAGAATAATTAAAAATAAAAATAAATTAAAAAAATAAAAAGCTTTAAAAATAGAAAATAGAAAAATAAAAATTAAATAATAAATAAAATCAAAAAATAAAATAGGAAGGTTTAAAATTAGAAAGATAAAAAAATAATAAATAAAATTAAAAAAATAAAAAGCTTTAAAAAAAGAAAATAGAAAAATAAAAATTAAATAATAAATAAAATCAAAAAATAAAATAGGAAGGTTTAAAATTAGAAAGATTAAAAAAATAAAAAGCTTTAAAAATAGAAAATAGAAAAATAAAAATTAAATAATAAATAAAATCAAAAAATAAAATAGGAAGGTTTAAAATTAGAAAGATTAAAAAAATAATAAATAAAATTAAAAAAAATAAAAAGCTTTAAAAATAGAAAATAGAAAAATAACAATTAAATGAAAAATAAAATAAAAAAAAAGCTTTAAAAATAGAAAATAGAAAAATGAAAAACAAAAAAATTTATAAAACACAATGAAAAGCTTCAAAAATAGAAAAATAAAAAATGAAAATAAAATAAAAAAATTAAAAAATAAAATAAAAAGCTTTAAAATAGAAAAAATAAAAATAAAAATTAAATAATAAAAAAAATATAAAATAAAAAGCTTTAAAACTAGAAAAATTAAAAAAATTTAAAAAGTAAAATAAAAAGCTTTAAAAAAAGAAAAATTAAAAATAAAAAATAAATAATAAATAAAATTAAATAAAAAAGCTTTAAAATAAAAAATTAAAAATAAAAATTAAATAAAAAATAAAATTAAAAAATAAAATAAAAAGCTTGAAAAAATTAAAAAAATAAAAATAAAATTAAATAAAAGATTTAAAAATAGAAAAATTAAAATTAAAAATTAAATAATAAATAAAAAAAGCTTTAAAAACAGAAAAATAAAAAATAAAAATTAAAGAAAAAAATTAAAAATAAAAAAAGAAGCTTTAAAAATAGAAAATAGAAAAATAAAAATTAAATAAAAAATAAAAAAAAATAAAAAACTTAAAAATAGAAAAACGAAAAATAAAAATTAAATAATAAATAAAATTAAAAAAATAAAATAAAAAGCTTTAAAAAATTAAAAAAAATTAAAAAAGAAATAAAATAAAAAACATAAAATAAAAAGTTTTAAAAAAAGAAAAATTAAAAAAAAATTTAAAAAATAGATAAAATTAAAAAATAAAATAAAAAGCTTTAAAAATAGAAAAATTAAAATTAAAAAAATTAAAAAAATAAAATAAAAAGCTTTAAAAATAGAAAAACTAAAATTAAAAATTAAATAAAAAAATTAAAAAAACAAATAAAAAGATTTGAAAACAGAAAAATTAAAAAAAATTTAAAAAATAAAATAAAAAACTTTAAAAATAGAAAAACTAAAAATAAAAATTAAAAAATAAAAAAAATTAAAAAATAAAATAAAAAGCTTTGAAAATAGAAAAATATAAAAAAATTAAAAAAAAATAAAATTAAAAAAATAAACTAAAAAGCTTTAAAAAAGACAAATTAAAAATAAAAATAAATAAAAAATAAAATTAAAAAAATAAATAAAAAGCTTTAAAAATAGAAAAATTAAAAAAATTTAAAAAAATAAAATAAAAAACTTTAAAAATAGAAAAACTAAAAAAAAATTAAATTAAAAAAAATTAAAAAATAAGATAAAAAGCTTTGAAAATAGAAAAAATAAAAAAATTAAATAAAAAATAAAATAAAAAAATAAACTAAAAAGCTTTAAAAAAAGAAAAATTAAAAATAAAAATAAAATTTAAAAAATAAAATAAAAAGCTTTAAAAATAGAAAAAATAAAAAAATTAAATAAAAAATAAAATAAAAAAATAAACTAAAAAGCTTTAAAAAAGAAAAATTAAAAATAAAAATAAAATTTAAAAAAAAAAAAAAAAACTAAAAAAAGAAAAACTAAAAATAAAAATTAAATAATAAAAAAATTAAAAAATAAAATAAAAAGCTTTGAAAATAGAAAAATATAAAAAATATTTAAATAAAAAATAAAATTAAAAAAATAAACTAAAAAGCTTTAAAAATAGAAAAATTTAAAAAAATTAAAAAAATAAAATAAAAAACTTTAAAAATAGAAAAACTAAAAAAAATTAAATTAAAAAAAAATAAAATAAAAAGCTTTGAAAATACAAAAAATTAAAAAAAATTAAATAATAAATAAAATTAAAAAAAAAACTAAAAAGCTTTAAAAAAAGAAAAATTAAAAATAAAAATAAAATTTAAAAAATAAAATAAAAAAACTGTAAAAAAAAGAAAAACTAAATCTAAAAATTAAATAATAAATAAAATTAAAAAATAAAATAAAAAGCTTTAAAAATAGAAAAAATTAAAAATAAAAATTTATTAAAAAATTAAATAAAAATTAAAAAAAAATTAAAAAATATAAAAGCTCTAAAAATAGAAAATAGAAAAAAATAAAAATAAATAAAAAAATTAAAAAATAAAAGAAAAAGCTATTAAAAAAATTAAA